AAAATAGAAAATTACGTACACAATACATATAACTATATATACAGATATTTATGGTTTCTAAAATAGAAGATAAAATATATGTCAAAAATAAACAAATGACTATATATCGCTAAGTAATTTCATACTAGCTTTAAGTCAAAGGGAATCGGCATTTCAGTAGGATGTTGAGTGAAGGTGAATCTAAATCATGGATTACAAGGTTGCCTACAGGGTAGATGGAGGGGATAGGTAGGTGAAAAGCAGAAATCTGTGCTACAAATTTACATGGGAAACATTTCTAGGGAAAAGTAAGATTTCTTGACTAGTTGTTAAGAATACAAGTCTTGGGGACCTGGGAAAAAATCTAGTAGATATAGAAATATAGCTAATAATGGGCCAAAGATGAGAAAAAAGAGTGACTTAAATACCAGAAAATTAAATATGTGTGCCTAAAAATAGCTGAAGAGATAGAATAAGCAAAAGAAAGAAAAACTGACAAAAAAAAAAAAAGGCGACATAATTAAGAAGGTAAATGCTGAGAGATGATCCTAAATAACAGACCCTTAAAATGGAAAGAATCCAAGTTAACTGTTGGAAACAGAACTATTATTGACTCTGAGAAGCAATGAGAGTAAAATAATGAGGAAAGAAGGAGAAACATCATTTATTTGATTGACTACCTACTTACTATGTGTCAGACAAGAAGGACACATAGTCCTAGTAAGAGAAGACACCATATGTAGTTAACATAATAAACAGATAAATTATATAAGCAATAAGATGATAATTTTACTGGGAAAAAATAGAGCAGGATAAGAGCAATCATGGGTTTCTGGAAATTGAGGAGAGGTCTGAAGGATTTCAGGGAGGTCCTTTGAGAAAAGGTCCTGAGAGAGTGTTCTTTGAGCAAAGACATAGAAGGAACTGAGGAAGTCATGAATGTGGCTATATTAAGGAATTATGTTCTAAGCAGAGGAAACCAGCAGTGTAAAGACCTTATATGAGAAGCGTGCCTGGCACATTCAAGAAACAGCAAGGGGATAGTGGAAATAAAATGAGAAAGAGAAGGCATTATTAAGTCTTTAGCATTTTTTTTTAATGAATCAGATTATAAGCTATTGAGGCTTTTACGATGAGGTAATAATATGATCTGATTTATGTTTGAAAAGGATTGCTCTGGCTCTGTGAACAACAGTCTAACAGACTTTAAGGTCGGGAGCCAGGGTGGAATAGGGAGCCAGTTAAAACTATTGGAGCAATTCAAGTGGAAGGCGACAGTTCTGGTCCTAGCCGCCATCACTGATAAAGAGAAATGGTCACATACTAGATATCTTTGAGCCAAAAGGACTTCTGGGATTGAAGTGAACACAAGGTATTTGAGAAAAAAGAAGAAAACAAAAAGACCCTAAATTTTTAGACTCACCAATCTAAAGAACCAAGTTGTCCTCAACTGAGACAGTGAAGAGTGTAACTGCACTAAATTTAGGTAGAAGGTTAAAAAGGCAAGTTAAGCTGAGGTGTCTAGATAGCCAAATGGAATGCTGAATAGAGAGGTCTAGGCCAGAGATGTCAATTGGGTGTCCATGGTGTAGAGATGACAATTAAATCCAAGTCACAGAAAGATACTGGATAAATAGAAAAGAAGATCAAGAACTGAGCCCTGGGACAAGAAGAGGTACCAGAAAAAGAGAACAAAGAAACTAAGAGAAGATGGTATCTTGGAAGTTGAGATAAGGTCATGTATCAAAAAGGAAAGTGTGCTCAAGGGTGTTAAAACCTACTACTGCTAGGTCAGAAAACATAAGAATTGTTGTATAAATTCATTAAATTTAGTAACATACAGGTCATTCATATGTTCCACAAGTATAGTTTTAGTGAAGTGATAAAAGCAAAAGTCTTATTTTCATGAAAGGGGTTTAAAAAGGAATCTTTTTAATGTATTGTTGTGTTTGATTTGCTAGAATTTTATTTAGGATTTATTTTAAAAAAATTAAAGAAGACACGAAGAAATGAAATTCTATGTTCATGGATTGGAAGAATCAACATAGTAAAAATGGCCATATTCACCAAAGCAATATACAAATTTAATGCAATCCCCATCAAAATCCCAATGTCATTTTTTAAAGAAATAGAATATAAAATCACCAAATTTGTATGGGATCACAAAAAAACTTCAAATAGCTGAAGCAATCCTTGGGAGTGGGGGGAAACAAGGCCGCAGGTACCATTCTGCTTGACTTCAAATATACTACAAAGTGACATAATCAAAACAGCATATCAGCAGAAAAATAGACATACAGACCAACTGAACAGAATTGAGTGCCCAGAAGTAAACCCACATATACATGGGCAAATAAATTACGACAAAGCTAAAAACATACAATGGAGAAAAGAAAGCCTCTTCAATAAATGGTGTTGGGAAAATTGGAATGCCACATGTAAAAGAGTGAAACTAGATTGTTACCTGTCATCATACACAAAAATTAACTTGAAAAAGATCAAAGACCTAAATATAAGAACTGAAGCAATAAATTGCAAAGAAGAAAACATAGATACTAAACTCATGGACCTTAGTTTTAGAGAGGATTTTAAGAATTTGACCTCAAAGGCAAGAGAAATGAAAGCAAAAATAAATAAATGAATGAGACTATATAAAACTAAAAAGCTTCTGCACAGAAAGAGCTAATATCCAAAAATATTTAAAGAACTCATACAATGCAACAACAAAACCCCAAAACAATCCAATTAAAAAATGGGCAGAGGACCTAAACAGATTCTTTTCCCAAGAAGACATACAAAAGGCAAGAGACATATGAAAAGATACTCAACTTCACTAGTTATTAGGGAAATGCAAATCAAAACCACAATGAGATATCATCTCATACCTGTACGAATGCTATCATCAACAAAACCAGTAATAACAAGTGTTGGAGAGGTTGTGGAGAAAAAAGAATCTTCATACAGTGCCAGTGGGAATGTAAACTGGTATAGCCGCTATGGAAAACAATATGAAGGTTCCTCAAAATACTAAAAACAGAATTACCATATGACTCAGCAATCCTTTTTCTGAGTATCTACCCCCCGAATTTGAAAACATTTATTCATAAAGACACATGCAACCCAATGTTCATTGCAGCGTTATTTATGGAGCCCAAGACATGGAAACAACCAAAGTGTCCTTTGTTAGATAATTGGATAGAAGATGTAGTACATATATACAATTGAATATTATGCAGCCATAAGATGAAATACTGCCATTTGCAACTGCATGGATGGATCTTGATATTATCATGCTAAGTGAAAAAAGTCAGACAGAAAAAGTTGAGAACCATGTGATTTCAGTCATATGTAGAGTATAAAACTGAAAACAAGACAAACACTCATAGACACAGACAACAGTTTAGTGATTACCAGATGGAAAGGGGGGAGGGGGCAAAGTAGATAAGGGGAAAGAGGGGTCAAATATATGGTGACAGAAGATTTGACTTTGGGTGGCGAACACACAGCGCAATATACATATGATGTATTATTGAATTGTATATTTGAGACCTATATAATTTTATTAAAGAACATCACCACAATAAATTTAATAAAAAATGAGAGGAAATGGAATGACCTGGGAATAGACACATGGCCACAACAGCCAGGGTAATGTAATAGATATATCGTGGATATGTTAGAAGATGAGCAAAATAATGGATAATATATTAAATCATTTTATTTTACTCTAATAAGATGTTAAAAATGGTGGAACATTCCCAAACTATGCAAGTTAATGATGACATTCGTCAAACTATCTGTGAAACCATACTCAAATTAGATTTTCTCAAGGAAGAGCAATTTTAATCATTCTAGAGGCCTCTCATGATAATTTTCTTATTTATACATGGCATGAGGTACAAGAAGAAGAGAAACTAGTGGTAACGACCTCACTCATGTCTTATGAATATCCTTTATAACATCAAATATGTGAAAAAACCTATAAATCACATCTATGATTATTAATTAATGAGTTTACTCTGCATTAATGAGTGGTGTGACAATGTATGGGCACTGAGATGAAGAAAAGAAAATGTCCATATTACAAACTTACTTTACAGAATAACTTTTAGAAATATATCTCTGGTGTAGCCTGACACCAATTCCTTTTAACTGGAAAGGAATTTTTAAAATAAAGAAACGTTATTATACAACATGATATTTTTAAAAATATTATCAGCATATCTAAAGAATTTATTTTTAACTTGCCAGATAGTTTCATGTAACAAATTACTTGAAACTTTGGAAATGAATAAAAACATATTACCAGGATAAATAAAGATCTTTGTGTGAAAAAAAGTAATTAAAGTCACTCGGCCAATGGATAATTCTATGGCACACCAAAGGTAGAACAAATGGCAGTTTCTCTTGTGTGACAGATAATATACACTGGATCAGGATTCAGGAGACTAGATTGCACATCTTTGACAAGCTTATCTGATGTTAATTGAATCTGGTAGCTTATCAGGTTTTCTGGTGCCCCGAACCATCACTTGATCTGCTGGAAAATAATATAAAGTCTAAAGAAAATTTCAGTTGTGCCAAGAAAGGCAAAATAATATGCAGCTTTTTTTTTTTTTTAAATTTTAAATGGTGGAAAGGAATAATAATTAGAAATAAGGTATGCCAAACTTGATCTGAAGGTATTATATCCCCAGTTATCTAAAAACACTATGCTTTAGAAATGACAATGACTATATATAGTCATAGAAAAATTATATACCCATTCGGAGAAGGTTTTTCTAAAGGTACATCAACTGACTGTATAAGTCAATACTGAACCGGTTACATTAAACAGTATTCAATAAACAACCATGACATTATATACTATTTAAATTCTTCTTTTGTTTCTTCATTAATTCCTGTTTTATCCTTGCTTTACACATTGAAAAAAAAGTAAATAAATACATACA